CATATAAGCCATTCTTTTTCTCTCCTTTCATTACTACTAAAGATCATTTAGTAACCTTAAGGACTCCACCTTGAGCCTTCTAGCTAAAACCATTTGAGTCTAAGCTGCCTAAGGAGATTAGGTTCATTTTCAACTTAGATATGTACCTAACTTTTATAAGGACTCTGGAATTGCCATCATGAAGACTTAACTTGACATCTCTAATGCCTAAGACTTTACACACTGCATTATTCCCCATTAGAACCTTACCTGATTCTATCTTCTTAAAATTCATCAAAAAACTCCTATTTGGAGTCATCTGGAAAGTACATCCAGAATCTAAAATCCACTCAGATTCAGATTCTCTATCAGAAGCTACTAGGACATCAGAACTTTCATATCCATCAAAAGCTATATTTACACTGCCATTAGCCTCTTTCTCTCATAATCTTTTCTTTCTATCTGGGTAGTCTCTCTTAAAATGCCCTTCCTTATGACAGTGAAAACACTTCCTCACAAACTTGGATTTGGACTTAGATCTACCCCTAAAATGACCTTTCTTTGACATCTTCTTCTTAGACCTACCTCTGTTATTAAGCCCTTCTCCATCTAGCTTACCCTCCTTTTTAAATTCAGCATCTTTAACAGTAATGGCTACTACTACTTCATCTAGTTTAAGGGTTTGTCTACCATACTTAAGGGTGTCAACAAAATTTGAAAACATTTTGGGAAAAGAATTAATAAGTATCACAACTTGATCTTCATCCTCAACTTTAACACTAAGACCTTCTAAATCTTGTACTAGTTTCATAAAGTCATTCATATTTTCTCCTAATATTTTGTTTTCATCCATTTTAAAACTGAAAAATTTATTTTTTAAAACTAATCTATTAGGAGAAGACTTTGACAGGTATAGAAGTCTAATTTTTCCCAAATCCCTGCTGGTGTAGTCATTTTCTTAACCTCTCGTAGGAATTTATCCCCCAACCCTAGAATTAGAGCACTGTAAGCTTTATCTAACAAATCTTTCTTCTCTTTCTCGAATAAAGACACCGATAAGCTATCCTCGCCCTCTAAAGTAGCAGACAATCCATCCTTAACTAAGACAACCTTCATCTTCATCTTCCATAACCCGTAATCATGATCCCCCGTGAATTTTTCTACTTCAAACTTAGACATATCTAGGTTCCTAAATCTCACAGTTACTAAGAGTGTGAAAACCCCAAAAAAATTCCCAAGACTCAGTAAAACCCTAAGTCAAGAATTCGTAATTGTAAAAACAGATCTAAACCTAGACAACCGCAAATTCGAAAATCAATCTCACAACCCAGAATAAAACCTAGGTGCTAGAAAGAAGCCTAGCTCTAATACCACTTATTGAACATGAGACCAATTTCCACACAAGAGTGTAGTATTCAATCCAAGCAAACAGAATCACAAGTAATAACAATAAAGTAAAAGCAGAAAAGAAAATAAGGAACACCAGGATTTATAGTNGCTTTTTTTTTTTAAGTGTTTATGTGATGTTTTTAGGTGAATTCAGCCATGATTAAGGGTTACATTAATGTGTAGTACTTGCATTAGTTTATGTTGTATGGTTGAGATTCATATTTGTAAAAATATCCACTTCAAAGTAGGTGTAACAGTGGACTATAAAAATTCCTCTATTATTAGAATGAAAAACAAAGCAAAAATCTTAGTAAAAACCTTCTCTTTACAATCTCTCTTAGAATTCTCCATCAAATACCAACTTAAAGGAATATGCGACAATTTTTAATGGAAACAACTGGGTGCATAATGGACCGGGCTGCTTTCCACAGTTATTTCTAGGCTGATCATAAAAGGCACATCTGGGCTTTATAAGAAAACCGCGACGAAGGAAGAACTGTAAGAAATTTAAAAAAGAAAAATAACCAGCAACAACGTAACATGAGAAGGAGGAAGAAAACTTATCCTCGTATTATTCTCTTCTCACACATAAACTAATAAATACATTGATTTATATAGGAGTTAAATTCTAATATCACTTAATTAAAGCTATTAACACTGATTAAATAAATCAAATACTAATGTTATCTATCTATTTTGATAACAATTATTTATAATGAAATAGACTAACAACATAAGACACTTGATTTAATTTCCAACAAGAATCAAAATGGGCGGAAGACATGGCGGTTGAGCTAAGCAGGGAGAGCTATGCTCTACACCTATGGAGCAAGATATCAAGGCCATTGATCATTGAAGAGGGAAGTGTTAAACATGAGACCAATTTCGAAAACAAGAGTGCAGTATTCAATCCAAGCAAACAGAATCACAAGTAATAACAATAAAGTAAAAGCAGAAGAGAAAATAATGAACACCAGGATTTATAGTGGTTCGGTAATCTAATAGATTACCTACATCCACTCTTCAGGACAATAAGAAAGATTCACTATGAGAAATAAGAAAACCTTACAGAGATTTCAGCGCACTTCTTTCCACATATCAAAACCCAAGAAAGGACCCTCTGGAATACACCCAAAACCCAGATGTTTCCTCTCCTCTCATACATACCAAACAACCAGAAAACAGTGAGATTTATACACAAGATGAAAGGGAAAACAGAAAGCACATCTAAGACCTACCACCACCGTTTGATTCCATCAACGATCTTCAAAGTTCTAGCACATCCCAAAATCGTAACAACCTTTCTCTCTCTGTAACCAAGAGAGAAAGATCGAGAATGAAAACTCGATCAAACAAGACCTAATTTAGATTAGGTTTATTGATAATAGGAAAAGCCAGAAATGCCCCTTAGCTTTTAACAAATAACTTTGACCACTCCAAGTTATAGGTTGACTTCCACTTAGGCATAAGTCAATGCCACATCACAACAGGAAGTGTTATAGAAAAATTAATTGCATCTCACTGTTTCATTTGCCTACATACATACATACATACATACATACATACAACTCTTAAAAGAAAATCAAATAAAATTTGAAGCTTGCTTAAGGGGAAAGTATTTACCAAAGTATAAAGCTATTTGTACAAACTCATTGTACAAAGAGAGTTTGTACAAACTGACGTGACATATTATGTGAGTGCCACGTGACATGAGGGCCCATATAACATTAATATGACATTAAATTACGTGTGTTCCAATATCATATGGCATGCTTTGTGACATGCCATGTCAATTTGTACAAACTCTCTTTGTATAAGAGTTTGTACAAATAACATTAGCCTTTTCCAAAAGCGAAGTAGCTAGCAGAGAATTAGTCAGCTGTATTGAAAGTTCGGTATACTTTGTTGCTTGAATAAGGGATATTTTATTAATACCTTTTGTGTATAAATGTATATGCCGAATGACATAACTATTTGAGCAAAGGAGAGAGCATTACTCTCACCTATTTATTTGTCATATCATAAGTAACGTTAAATTATAAGTTATCTTAAAATCTAAACTAAGACCTTTGCTTTAAAAGTATCATAACTACACAAATTTGAGTTAGTTTTTCAATTCTCACTCAAAAGTGCAGGTGCGAAATTTAAATAATAACTTAAAGGTTAAAATACCACCCTCTAAGTCGATAATCACATAATCTCCTATATCACATTTCATATCACTTGAGTAATAAAAGATTATTGGAATCTTTTATTATCTGTTTAACCAAATAAGGTAATCAACGGATTAAAAAATTAGATTATCGAAATAATCTTCTTAAGGCATAGTCATACGCAGCCTATATATTTTCAATGATGATCTATGGACTATGATATCGGGCTTTCTTCTCATATGGACTTTAAAGGAAATTGCCACAATTTTTAATGGGGGTCCAATAGGCCTTACATAGTTTACGGAGACGTTAAGAGAGTCGGAGACAAAGCTAACTAAGCCCTTCTATCTAGTTGATGGGACAAGGCATTCTAAGAAACCTGAAACCAGAGAAAAAAAAAAAAAAAAAGAAGAAGAAAAATGAAGGACATTATTCAATGAGGGAAGTTTGATGGAGAGATTAAGACAAATACAAATGATAAGCTTCTTCAGCGTGACTGTGAAGTAGCAAACAGAGGATGAACAAAATCCTCTTATTTGGTCAACAATTTTTTTACTTGTTGCTCAATAAGTGACTTCTAAATTAGATCAATTAATTGCTTATGGTCATGGGTGGGTCGATCATAAAGAAAGACGAGAGATAGTATGAGGGATGGCATTTACGGAGTGATTCATCAAATGGATAATGGGGTTCATGGATAGAGCGATGGGATTGGTGACAATAAGTTTTCGAATTGTTTTATGAGTAAACGACTTTTTCTCACCCGACGTTTACCTTAATGGTACTTTTCTATCAAAAAAAGTTTCAGAATACCACTTTTTCATCCAAAATTTATATTCCGTTAATACTCAAAATACACTTCACTTTTTCAGTTGGTGTTCGGCTAGTTACCAAGAGTCAGGGTGAAAAACGTTTAATAGAGTAGAGGCCGATGAATTGAATGGTGGTGATTGATTGAATATTTGCCCTCATAACTAATGGAAAATCAGCTAAAAATATGAAACTCTAACTTTGCAGTGACCGATAATCGACAAGAAATTAAGTGTTGGAGTGAGATGGGTTTTATAGAGAGGAGTTCGGAGGTTAAAATGGTGGTGACGAAGAGAATTTTTACCGTTGGAATTAGCCGAAATCAGCTTTAGATAGTATCCAAATATTAACTTTGGATGGGAAAATTGGTATTTTGAAACTTTTTGGGCGAGAAAAGTATCCTTTAAGGAAAACCTTGGGTGGGAAAAAGACGTTTACTCTTATTTTATTAAGATTTTAAACCACTCTAAAAAAGAAGAGCATGTGCTTCGTCAAGAGTTGTTATACGTAAGTAATGGCTTTTTCTTTTTAACTTAAAACCCACATGAATCCTTGTATTGTGCGCAACAATCGATCTTTTTTGAGTTTAAATGCCAACCGACAAAATGCATGCATAAAACTCACTGAAATTTCTTTTTTGATCGATAGAACCTCTCCAGTTCTCACAAGATGCTGAACTGGAAAGTTGTCAAATCGCCAATCTTCTGTGTTAATTCATTTGCTGCCATAGCTTTTGTCATCTACGCAGGTAGCCTCATCTTTAATCATTCTGCAAACCTTGTAGATATTACAGCTTGTAGGACTTACAAAGCACCACATAATCCAAGTGATGTTTCTGAAGCACAACAGATTGCTGCTAAAGCACCCGAACAGATTAAAGAAAATACCACGGGTTCCACGCCATTGCTTAATAAGCAAGCTACGAGTGAAGAAGAAGAAGACAGTGAGAAACCTGATCCTATGGTTCCTCCTCCAAATTTGAGAGGAGAAGAGAAAAGGAAATGGATCCGAAAAACAGTCCCGGAACTTGAAATTCTCAAATCAAACGACTCGGGTCAGAGATTTAATGGTCGAGTTATGGAATTCTTTAACCAACAGTGTACAATTCAATTCTTCATGATTTGGTTTTCACCAGCAGGGAAGTTTGGACCCAGAGAATTTTTGAGCGTAGACTCTCTGTTGAAGTCCAACCCTCAAGCATGCTTGATGATTTTATCAAAATCTCTAGACACAATACGCGGCTACAAAATCCTGAAACCATTCCTTGATCGTGAGCTTAAAGTTTTTGCAGTCACAACAGATGTGCCTTTTTTGGTCAAGAACACGCCGGCCGAAGTTTGGCTTGAAGACATAAAGAGTGGAAAATTGGATCCTGGTACTATTTCTTTTACCATTCATCTTTCTGATCTGGTTAGGATGGCTATATTGTACAAGTATGGGGGAGTTTACTTGGATACAGATTTCCTAGTTTTGAAAAATTTTGAAGGGTTGAGGAATGCAATTGGAGTGCAAATTATAGATAGAGCGTCTAAGAATTGGAAGTCAGTGAATAATGCATTACAGATCTTTGACATTTGGCATCCAATGTTATTCCAATTCATAAAGGAATATGCCACAAATTTTAAACCAAACATTTGGGGGGAAAATGGACCATACTTGCTTTCCAGAATTATTAAGAGACTGGACGCAGGACGCTCACCAGTTTACAACATTAGTGTTTTGCCAAGAAAGGCGTTTTATCCAGTAGATTGGCTTCATATATCCAGGCTGTATAAGAAGCCCACGACGGAAGAAGAATCAAAATGGGCGGAAGAGACGGTGGCTGAGTTAAGCAGAGAGAGTTATGCGATACACCTGTGGAACCAAATATCAAGGCCATTAGTGATTGAAGAGGGAAGTGTTATAGAAAGATTAATTGCATCTCACTGTTTGATTTGTCAAAAAGTCTTATAAAATTTGAAGGTTGTTTTCAGTTTTCTCCCAAAGCGAAGTAGCGTACAGGGAATAAATCAGCATAAGCCTCTTTTTGGTAGCTTGAATAAATAAATTTTTTATTTGATTGAACCATTATGGCTAAGAGGAAAGCATTACATTCTCCATTCCAGTTACATTCGATCTGCAGATTTCTGTCAGAGTAGATTTACATATACTTCGATTTATACACAACCAAATCAAATTACCTTTACATTTACGTTGGAGATTCAAGAACACGAATAGAAATTTCTTTTACGTTTTCTTCAGAAAGTCAATATCTAGTAACAAAATTTTCACTTATTCAATATCTAAGACATACAGTAAATGCATGTTCAATTTAACTCCAATGTCCTCAAGAAAATAAAATTGCTACTAAACACTAAACCAAAGAGATATCAAAAACTGAAATCTGTATATTTTGATGCTTGAATAAGGAACTTCTTTTATTAAGCTTTTGTGTGAGGGGCATTGCAGATTAGGTACTTTTTTTTTTTTTTTTTTTTTTTTTTTTCTCTCTTCTTTTAATTAAATTTCTGTGGACCTCTCCTAAAGTTTTGAAAAATAAAAACTTGATGAAGTTTCTCATTTTTGCATTGCTCATAAGATAAATGCGCCAAATATGGAAGAGAAATTTGTTGCACGAGGGAGATCGCGACGTAATGTTAAAAAAATGACAAATTTATTTCATAATCGTGTCAAGTTATTCTATGCTACAATAGATTTGCAACTATCAGAGCTTAACAGTCATTTTAATGAAGGTAATATAGAATTGCTTATTTCCATAGCCTCCCTAAATCCAAGTGATTGTTTTCAAGCATTTGATAAGGGAAAATTAGTTCGTTTTGCTCAATTTTATCCACTTGAATTTTCTTCTGCTGATCTTATGACACTTGAACTTCAACTTGATAATTATATTGATGATATGCGCTCGGATAATGATTTTTCATAACTAAATGATATTACCGGTCTTGCTTAGAAAATGTTTGAAAAGAAGAAACATCTTATTTACTCATTGGTATATTTGCTCATCATATTGACTTTAATCTTACCAGTTGCAATTGCAAGTGTAAAAATAGCATTTTCTGCTATGAAAATTGTGAAGATTCATTTACGCAATCGAATAGGAGATCAATTCTTGAATGATAGTCTGTTTCCATATATTAAGAAAGATATATTTAAAAGTGTTGATAAGGAGCTAGTCATACAACGATTCCTCAATATGAAGCTCCGCCGAAGACAATAGTAAATGTAATTTTTTTTTCCTTTTTGTAATAATTTTGACTTGAAAAATAGAATATGAATGTTATTTACAATTAGTTTTCATTTGGCTAACTCTAACATAAATTTTTGGATCCATCCTTGCTAATAGAGGTGGTTACTGAAACTTTTACCCAGCCGATAGTTCTAGGGTTCTGAATGATTAATTAAGATGCTACTCTCATGTATTGTAACAGAGAAAAAACTAATCAGCTGAGTGAGTATCCAATAATTTATCAAATTATTGGCCAAAATGCCAAATCACTCACCTTCTCTACCACCTCATTTGCAGCTACCATCTCTAATTTTTCTACCTACCCTCAAAAAATTAGACTTAGAGAACGTTTCGAGGCACCTTAAACTCCCATTGAAACTTCCGGGGCACCTCACCTCCCAAAATTTCCTATATATATACATATTAATGTCTTAATTTACATTCTAAAATAACTTAATCTGAAATGAAAGAGTTATTTTTAAGTAATCCATGGCTTTTGCATTTTTACGTACTCAACAGTCAACTCAATGGAATACGATGCATGGTCCTCGGGCTTAATTGGCCGTTTTTATTTCCTTACCAGGAGCACTGTACCATTCTAGTCAACCTTTGATTGAAACAAACCGGGGCCCTATTGGCCTTTCCTAGTTTCCAGAGTGCAAGACAGACATGGGTATGATCTTTACATGCAGCTTCAGCATTCAAGGCCTCTTATATATCCAGTTGATTTGGATAAAGATAAGAAACCTGAAATAGAGGAAAAATCAAGGTGTTTCTTGATTATTGTTCCTTTATTTATTGATTTTCTGAATCTATGATCCCCATGTGAATAAAATGAACACAAAGACTGTAACTATTCTCTTAAACGCAAAACAGTTGGGAAGCTGTTTACTCTTCCATTGCATATATGTGATAGTTTCCTTCTTTAGTGTTCAAAATTTGATTACAGTAGCTAGTACAGAAAATACATCACGCCTTTCTTCCACAAATCAAAATCCATGAACCAAATCCTGGCAAATCCATGAATGAACGGTATCAAATATGGACGAGCGTTCGTGATTATTGGACGACCATTCATTTTAAATGGACTCCCGTCCATGAGAAAATAACAATGGACTCCTGTCCATATTATATGGACGGGAGTCCATTTATTATGGACAGACATTCATCGATAATGGACGTTTATCCATAGTTTAAATTAAAAAGATTTGAAAACAAAAATCATGGACGCCCGTCCATATATTATGGACGAACGTCCCCACTGAATGGACGGGTGTCCCTATTAGATGGACGCCCGTCCATTGTTTAAATTAAAAAAATTCACAATCTCAACAAAATTGTAACAGCAATAAAAGCATATTGGGTGGATCTAATAAGAATAAAAAGCATGAAAGCAATGCATAGTTACGTCATATTCTTATGACACTTGTCCAATTACTTTAAATATAGACAACAAATTTAATGAAGGATGGCGACATTTACTTTTTGGATCTTGATTGAGACTCAAATATTGTGTGTAAAATTTTTAAAATTAAACAATGGACAGGCATCCATCTAAAAGGGACGTCCGTCCATTAAATATGGACGCCCGTCTGTATAATATATAGATAGGCGTCCATGATTTTTGTTTTAAATTTTTTTTATTTTAAACCATGGCTAGATGGACGCCCGTCTATAGTAAATGGACTCCTGTCCATATTATATGGACGAGAGTCCATTGTTATTTTCTCATGGACGCGAGTCCATTTAAATTAAACAGTCGTCCAATAATCATGGACGTCCGTCCATATTTAATGAACAGCTGTTCATTCACGAAATATTTGTTATATGCTATGTGACTGCGTCTACTCAGCTGACACGTCATTTGGTGCAAAATTTCGGTACAGGTCTTCGGTGTCCGTAGCATTATTGAATATATACTCCATTAACCAATTATATATTGATATTAAGAATAATCAGCAATCCCTAAATCTTCCCAACTCTCAAGATATACTTAATATATTGATATCTCAATTTACATTATAAAATAACTTTAAACTGAAATTAAAGAGTTATTTTACAGATTTCATGGCTTTTTCATTTTTACGTACTCAACAGTCAACTCCAGACACTCATACAGTACGTAAGATGCATGAATCCACTGCTTAATTGGCCCTTTTTTCAGTTTAAATGTCGACGGGCAAAACATACATATATAGAAACTTCCGAAAATCCCTTGTTGCATAGAGCCCTTAAGTTCTCACAAAATGTTGAGCCAAATTATCAAATCACCCCTCTTCCTCGCCGTCTCATTTTCCGCTATCGTTTATCTCATCTACACAAGCAGCCTCGTCTCTAATGGCGCCCTCATTAATAATCTTTGTGTATACTCTGCAGAAAAATTAGTATTACAAACTTCCATTTTGGATTCCAACACCACCATACTACCACTAAAGCGAGAGACGAATGAAGAAAAAGAAGATAGTGAAACTCCTGATCCTCTGATTCCTCCTCCTGATTTGACAATACAAAAAAGAATAGAATGGTTCCGGGGAAAAGTTCCGGAACTTGATGTTCTCAAATCAGACGACTCCGGTCAGAAATTTCATGGTCGGGTTCTGGAATTCTTTGATAAAAATTGTACAAATCAGTTCTTCATGATTTGGTTTTCACCCGCGCGGACATTTGGACCGAGAGAATTCTTGGCGGTTGACACTCTAATGAAGGCCAACCCTCAAGCGTGCTTGATGATTTTATCAAGAACTCTAGACGGGCGGCGTGGCTACAAAATCTTGAAACCATTACTTGATCGCGGGGTTAAGATTGTTGCAGTTACTCCCGATGTGCCATTTGTAGTGAAGAACACACCAGCTGAAGCCTGGCTTGAAGAATTAAAGAGTGGAAACAAGGACCCTGGAAAGTTTCCATTATATAATAATCTTTCCAATCTCATTAGACTTGCCATTTTATACAGGTACGGAGGTGTTTACTTGGACACAGATTTCATAGTTATGAGAAACTTCACAGGGTTGAGGAATGCGGTTGGTGTGCAAGTTATAGATCGAAACACTCAAAACTGGAGCTCGGTGAATAATGCATTGATGATCTTTGATATTGCGCATCCAATTTTAGTCGAATTCTTGAGGGAATTCGCCACAACTTTTGATGGAAACATATGGGGGCATAACGGGCCTAACATGCTTTCTAGAGTTATTCAGAGGCTGAACGTTGGAGGCACAGCTCCTTATAACATTACAATTTTACCAATAAAGGCGTTTTATCTAGCGGGTTGGCTTCAGATACCCGAGCTGTATAAGAAACCGACGACAGAGCAAGAATCGAAACGGGTGGAAGACACGGTGGCTGAGCTTAACAGAGAGAGCTATGCGCTACACCTATGGAACAGGTTAACAAGAGATTTGGTAATTGAAGAGGGAAGTGTTATACAAAGAACAATTGCATCTCGCTGTTTCATTTGCCGAGACACGTATAATTCTTCGATAACCATTTAATTTTGAAGCTTTCTTAAAAAAGACTGCAAAGTTGTGTATAATTTATTGCTTCAATAAGGAACTTCTTTGGCGTTAAAAAATTGCGCGCCGGAAACTATTCGAAAGTAAAGAGGGATTGAGCATTTCTATGATTTAATTTAAGTGCCTTGCAGTCTTATTTTTATTTTTATAGCAATTCTAAAACTTCCCCTAAAAACCATAAACCCTAAATCCTGTTTTGCTCTCAGTTTTGGAAAATAAGCATTGCCCTTTAATTACATTCATAAGCATCCTTATCGCCCCCTCTGGCCATCTAGGGTGGTTAGACGTTACATTAGTTGCCCTTCAATTTGCAAGTATAATCGTTGTCATTGTTATAAGATCTTTAGAAATACATAACATGAGCTGTGAGGAGTTCCAATTAGAGTTCCTTTTCTAGTTTTGTTTTCCAACAAATTTATTCTGTTTAGATTCGGTTTTGTTTTTGTATTTTCTTATTACTGTATCATTTATTATCCATCAAATAGCATCATATATACAAATATTTATTCATTATTCATTGAGTTGACCTTCTTGCTTTTGAGTTTTGACACTAGTTTTGACCGTGTCCAACCAAAAACTGCCTCCTGTCAATGCAACTCTCTTGAGAATGGGGAAAGTGTATCCTAATATACCGGCTACTTAGCTCCTCCCCACTTTCTCATTTGCTGCAAAAAGTACTATTAGACAGTGAAATTTTTGAGGCACTACAAACTCTCATTGAAGCTTTCGGGGCACGACAGACTCGTAATAAAATGCTCTATGCAATAGAGTCCCAAGCTTGAAAGACAATTGAAGAAAATTCTAGGCCAATGCTTAGAAAACAAGAAAAGATTGCAGAAAGTAACCATTCTGTGTTGAACGTCCTAGAAAATGTTGAAGAAATTGTAGGCCACTGCTTACTACATACACAAACAACGGAGAGAAGAAGACAATATCCAAAATCCAGATCCTCAATTCCTCTTAAGACAAAATGTTGATAGATCACACTTGAACAATTCTTACATGCATTAAAGCATACAATGAAAGCCTCTTTCACCGGGATTTATTTATGGGTTTGAAATATTTCAACTTTACTTTTTTGACATTTCGTGAATTATTGATTTTTTTTTTTTTTTTTTAAATCCTACAGCGCCATTGAAAACTTTCGTCTACTCTACATAAATAAATTCTTTTCCCCACTCATTTCTCCCTTGTCATGGATTGAGAACAGTATGTGATCACAAGATACTGAACACTCGAGTAATCAATCAATCTAACTGCCAATTCCCGATCACCCTTTTCGTCTGCTGCTATATATTTTTTTCTAACCTATGCAGATAGCCTCATCTCTAAACTTACAAAACTGGAAATTTTGTTATATCCACGTACACGATTTCAACATATGGAGGCACAGAGTAAGACGTGACCATAAGCTTTAGTCTTAAGAACAACAATGTATCAACTCCGTAAACTCTCTCCCTGTTCAACTCTCATGGGGAAGAGAAAAATGTCACAAGATACTAAACTACAGAGTACTCAGTTGAACCATTAAATCGCACATCTTCTCTACCAGCTCATTAGCTGCTATATTTTTCATAATCTATGCAGACATCCTCATGTCCAACCTTCCTGTCTACCCTGCAGATATTAAAATGTAGTGACATTTTCAAGGAACAACAAGCTCCCAATGAAATTTTTTAGACAAAACAGATTACTAACAAAATTCTCAAAACAGCGGAGCCTTCCAAAATTGAAAGGCAAGTTGAGTCAACCTCCAATACCACGTCAATACTTACCACACAATCAAAAATTGAAGAATATATAGGCTGCTGCAAACCACACGAGAAAGGATTTAAGAAAATAGCAGGTCTTGTTTACCACACAAGGTTGAACAATATAGCAGGCCATTGCTTCCTGCACAAGCTATGAATGAAGAACAGTGAAACTCCAGATCCTGCTCTTCCCAGGAATCTCACAACAGAAGTAAGAATTAAAAGGATGTACAGAAAAATTGCCTCAAATTGAAATTCTCAAATCAACTGACTCGAGTAGAAATTTCATAACTGAGCTCTAGAATTCTTCAACAAACAGTGTAAAATTGAGTTCTTCACGGCTTGGTTGTCACCAGCAGAGACATTTGGACCAAGAGAATTCTTGGGTGCAGAAAATCTGTTGAAAAACAACTCTCAAGCATTTTTTATAATTATACCAAGATCTCTGGACAATAGACAAGCCTACATGACCATGAAAACCACTACTTGATCGTGAGCTTAAAGTTCTTGCAATCACACCTGATTACCCTATTTACTAAGGTACACAATAGCTGAAGCTTGGCTTGAAGAGATAACATTCTTTTGACATAACATTTCGGCCGCCTCCCGTCCAGTAGGAAAGAAACTTGTAGCCACTAGCCAGTGACTAGTTTCACTATGAAGCTATGTAAACATCGCCAAAGAAGAAGACTAGTGTAGACATTTTTACAGTCTTAGATCTACCTCATACTTCCTTCCAAGCTTTAATGTAAATGACACAGGAGGGTTCTTCATTCTTCTCTTAGACTCTCCTAGACAATCATGGTCTTCAAAGATTCTCAGTATAAGTAGAAAACATGACAATTAGCTAGGATGAGCAATGCTACACATCTTAAATAGTATCCCGATGTTTTCATCCCAGTGATGATATCCTATATGTAATGCAATATCACTTACCATATTTGTGCCGATTATTGAATGTCATATTGAATTGGTATCCTACATGGCAATACGCAATACTATATCACTTACTACATTAGCTCATCATTGAATATCATATAGACTGATGCATCAATTGAGATGATAAATTTGGGATATTATTGAGACGTGTAGCATCATTCCAGCCGGAATATGTTCTTTTTTAGGCCTAAGCAATAATAATCGAAGAAGAGCCATAGAATCTTTTTGTTTTTCTATATAGTTGGTGTCCTCATAAAAAGAACAGGATTGGATGTACTGCAAATTGTAAACTAACAATAGAGAAATGACAAATTGACATAATAATATAGCATCTCAAGATTCAACAAAATTACAGTAACAAGAAGAAACGAAACAGGATAACTGAATTAACTAGAGAACAAAGATTCATCGATTTCGATATTGATTTTCTCATCATCATCATACTTATCTTTCTTTGGTGGAGCAGGAGGTGCTGCCACTCTCGGTGGCCCTCTCCCTTTCTTCTTGTTTCGCGGCCTCGCCTAATAAATAAACCAAAACAAAATAAATTCATCATCGAAAAATAACAAAATTCACCATTTCATCGGACAGTCACAAACACTTCTTACATTGCCAAAGGAGTGATTGAAACGCTTTCCTTTGGCCGTCTTCCTATCGCCGCGACCACAGTACACTGAATCATTTGACAAAAATTAGGGCAATTATTAGTCATTCCACTTAAAAGAGCGAGAGAAATTGGCGGTTAACAGTTACTGACCGAAGGGGATTGAAGGAGAGCGAGTTAAAGAGAGCGAAACTGAGTGAGTTGAGCAGCTGAGAGAAGTGCCGAGCGTTTGAGATTGAGAAGAGGAAATGCGAGATTGAGGTGTCAGAGGTAGAGCTCCAAGTATGAGTGACGCCATGGCTCGGCTTCAATTCGGACTCTGAAAATTTTGAAGATAAGATGAGGTTGATTCCCTCAACCAGTACCCATTTATATACTTCGATTTTACGGCCCGGCCCAGTAAGTTGGACCAGCATCAGGCCCAAATAGCCCAATAAGAGTGTGATCCAGGAAAAAAAAGGACTGTGTACTTAAAATAAAATGATGTGTATTTAGTAGGTCTGGTTCAATAACTACCCATTAAACCCACCAATCAAATAGAAGGAAATGGCAAACCCCCTCTCGGAAACCAATTGATTTTAGCCTCACTTAAATCGGGTTCGGGGATACTTAGATGGGGAATCAAATCTGACACCAAGCATTTATCTATATTATCTTCAATTCATCTTAACCATCTAAATTATCTACGGATGAGTCATTGAATTGAAATTATTTATTATTAGTTTTAAAATAAGATTATCCGATAAAATTCAACTAAAAATAGTTTATCAAAATGGGAATCCAAAATGATTTAGTAGAATGAGAATCTATACAAAGGATAAGATAACCCCCAGTAGCACTTTGACGATTCTTTTTAAATGAATGATAGAAGTTTTTACTTTAGGTTTGTGTCACTTTTGAAAACAGATTCGTATGGCATTGGTCAAACAAATTTGAGATGGCTGAAGTTCCAAGTTATTGGGGAGTAGAGTAGATTTAGATCTAAGACTTATTATTACTTTGGAGATTTTCACATGCAAATGCATGTTCTTCTCCTGAGTAAAGGCCTTGCTTAATATTAATGTAATATCTAAGTTTTATTTATTTATTTAAAATTATTATATCATAATCTAAGCTTTTCAGGATCCTTTTTATTCGAGCTTGCTCACAGAAGACTTGTTGATGTGGATAATGGCACTGAATCTTAGCTGAAACTTTCTACGTGACGTTAAGTTTACTATTTTAATTTAATTAATTATATAAATTATTCTGATAATATATAGTTGTGGATATATGGCATGCAAGTGTTAGCTTATATTATGCAATGAGTTATTACTGGAATTGGATCTTGGAAGCATATTTATTTATAATGCTTCAGTCATAAAGTCAATTCCTCCTTTGCTTACAGATTGAAGTGACGGCTCCCACTAATCCAATTCAATTTATATTTATTGTTATTTTTTAAAATAAAGTTAATTACCTCTAATCAAGCTTTGGGTTCTCATTAACATATACTTATAATAGGGTGGTATGTGCAATAAAATTAAAATAAAATAAAAACCCAATTAGAAAAAGAGGCAATTAATGATAAGATGATTAAACATGGAAGTAAGAAGGGTTGTTGACATGTGAATTTCAAGGGGAAAAGGAATATTTTGGAGTAAAGAGTGGCACGTGACAATCAGGTGAAGTAACGTGCAACCCATGTGAAAGTGGGGCGGGTCCACGGCCCACTCCATAAAACAGAATCTAAGGTCAAAAGGGCCATTAAAACATGTCCACATACAAACTTTTGAGACCAAGCCACGTTGGCATTAAAAAAATATTACAGACAAGACACCCATAACGTTACTAATTTTATAAGGCTATATACTTTGGGAACATGGTATAGTAATAGTGACAATGCAAGCTATAACAAATATTTTATAATATCCCAAGAAAAAAGAAAAAATATATATTTATATATAAAAAAAACACTAAACATTATATATCTGATTTTAATTACCCTATGCTTTGATAGCAAAGGAATCATCACAATTCAACACACTATTTTATCCACTAAATTTAAGGGGGGGAGAGGAAAATAACAAAATAGAAAAAGAAAAAAAAATAGCGAAATCCAGCACACATCACCACATGTAAGGGAGGTATTGCTATCTCCCCATGTATGATACAAAATATGGAGCAAAAACATGGGAGAAAAAGAGAAGAGAAGAGAAGAGTGCTTTTTTCTTTTTCTTTTGACGTTTGTTGCTGTTAAGTTCAGTGATGTTGGGCCGGAGCAACGCCTGCCGTCGGCGGTGGAGGCTTGCACTGATAGCACTTGGCGAAGAGCCCAAATGTATCGATTTGTCTGATGAAGTTGGTCATACTGGCCCATCCACCGAACCCGAAACCAATGACGAGAACCCACACAACTACAAATGTATTAAATACATACATTGCAGTCCAGCTTGGGATAAAGAAAGGAGGCTTCTCTGCAGCGTTCTGCACAAAAAATAAACCAGACCCGGATGGGTTAAATTAATAAACTAAAGTTTATAAATAATTTTATAATTGTTGACATGATTGATGAGTAAGTAAAATAGTTTAAGCCTAACTGAATGGGAGTGAGTCTAAGTCAGGGAGCCAGTTCATCCCAGACAAGATACAACAATACAACTGTAGTATTATAACTAAATGAAAAGGACTGGCCACCTATCTCAATTGTTCTCGTAATATTTCCAAATCCAAGCCTTAAATGCTCTTGTACACACTTGTTCTACCTTTTCTTTTTTTTTTTCTCTCTCTCTCTCTACTCAATTAGGACTCTGTCACTGTAGAATCTATGGAAATCCCCATCAAACCCGGGCTGACCACTAAAAATATTATGCCCAAACCCCCATTAACATATCAAGATAATTACAAGTTTCTGTCATGTGGGGACTAAAGAGTTAGGCAAGTGAAAGTGTGAAGAAGTGTTAAGTTTAAGCCTTTTTTATTTACCTGTCGAGCAGAAGCTTTTCTGTAGGTAAGCATATGGGCTAAAGCTGGGATGATGTAGACGGTGAAGCTAACCAGGAGAGCTCCAACTGCAGAGTTAATAGGACCAAAGAATGGGAATATAATGGCCAAGAACCAAATTGGTATCACAACTGGTAATCTTGCAAGTGCCCTTAAGCATATGCTCTTTGTGTCATGCATCCCAATAACTTTCTCCCACACAAAGTACAATGGCGTACATGCGAACCCAAATGTTATAAACTGCAAAAATTAGAAAAATAATTTAATCCCACTGTCAGATTTTAGTTTAAAAAAAAAAAAAAGGATTGTGCAAAAAGCTGGTAGTTGCTTAGACCTGGTGGATGAGCATTAAGATAACGGCGGCATCACGCCAGCCGTTCTTGGGGAGAAGTGAGAAGGCGTTGGAATGATTGAGGAGCTGATCACCGAATGCCCAGTAGACGGCAGTGGCTGACGGAATCGTTAATGTGAAAACGTACAAGGTGGCAAACAGATATATGTACTTGAACTTTTGAGGTTTCCACATGGCGTGCATGATTTCCCTGAAATAAATATTTTTTCACAAATAAAGGCAACCCAATTTCAGGAATTGTGCATTAAATTTTTGTTAATCATAAACTAAACCATGTTAATGACACTTTCAGCTTGAAATAAGATGACGAAAATGACCTCAACCTCAAGCAATGGATTCTACTAGAGAGCAGACTAAATTAAGGTCACTATTGGGTCTATGATAGAGAAATCATTCTACGAGTAAAGGACAAAGAAAAACATAGACTAGATTTAAGGTCAGAACCGGGCTGTCCACAGTGAAAAAAAAAAAAAGGTAAACAGTTGAAGACGGAGACCATAGGACCCTTCTCCTGTACAAATTTCCTAGAAAAATGTTCTGGGAAGAATTGTTTCCCAACAAACAAAAGCAAAAATAAAAATTGCATGATTTTGTCTGGATCTCGAGCCCCAAGATAGCCGGCAAAAGCTGCAAAGAGAAGCCGTGTAGAAACAAGTGCAAGAAGAAGAGCTAGGCCTAGGAGTAGAAGAAAAGAGGATAAGATATAATTAAGTGAAAAATTAAAAATGGCAAAAAGCTTACACAGTAACAGCGTGGCCGCCAAAGGTGTACAGAATATTGGTGGCGCCGGTGAAGTACAGCACTAGTTTTGTTGGAGCCGAGTGTGAGACTCCTTCAACCTGCATAATCAAAACAATTTCAAAAGCTCTACCCACTGTAAATAATTAATTAAACACCAAACATGAATTTAATAATTAAGAAAAGGTAGTTCGTTTATATTACCTGGCCATGGACAATAGCGGCTATGGCCATGTACCAGGCCGTATAAGTGGTCATGCCAAGGCCGAGAAAAGACCAAATACGGTAGTTGTGAAAGGAAGGAATGAACACGGTGGTGGCACAGCAAGCTCCAAAAATATAGGTCCATGTTCGCTTATCCAATCGGTCGTTGATGTAGTAAATGTTACTGTTTTCATCAGGAAGAAACAAAGATTTAGATGTTAATATCAAACAGAACCCCAGCTGTTGTTTTTAATTCTTCTATTGAAGTGAAGAAAAATGTTACCTTGCACAAGCTATCAGTTGTATGACAGATCCAAATAGGAGGAAAGTACAGTTGAATGCAAGTCCCACAGCTTTCCAATATGGACCCAGTAACCCATCAAGCACTTCGAACCACTGAATCCAAAACAGTGTTTAACTTTTGGTTACAATAATCCAAGGCAGATATTTTTAGAGTTCTTGTTTTGAAGATTAGAAGTAATTGGTGATGGTGATTTAGAAACCAACCTGAATGACATGATTCTTGAAGTTCACGTTCTCTTTCTCCTTCCGGCTTCGGTACTCGATGTAGAGGACACTTATAAGGTACGCAGTCCAGCTTCCCATAATTCCATAGAATATTTGTAACACAATGCCTGAGAGCATACCCAGTTGGGAGAATGAGTAGGGCAGAGTCAAAAGTACTTGAGCGACCTGGAAGATCAATAAAAAAAGGGGGAAAAATGGTTATTTTGAGTTGTTTTGGTTTCATTAATCAATTGGAAATAATAAAATGACGTTTTTTATGTACTTGATTGGAAGCACAACTGAACCAGGCGTCCCAAACAGAGCCACCGTGCCATAACATGCTTTTGACGCTAAACAAGGACTGTTGTTCTCCATCTCTCTCTTCTTCTTTTCCTTCATGTTCTGTCTCGTTGAAGTTGGAGACTATTGCTTCTTCTGCTTGCTTCTGAGGCAACATTGTCTTCGTTTTTCTCTAAGGCCAACGTCTAAATCCTCGTAGATCTGAAACATATAAAAGACAGTTAATGAGACAAAAAAACTATAATCAAACGCTCTCCCAGAAAACGAAAGCCAATAAGACCGCAGATCCAACTATGTACCAGAAATTCCTCTTAAACTAAAAATAAAACAAAGAAATAAGAAATGGAGTCAAGACACAAAAAGAGAGGAGTCACGAAGCAAAGTAAAGGGAAGCGAGCCCAAATAGCGCTTTAGACCAACCTAGCTTGAGACGTCTCTTTCGGGTAAAAATTTGAAGCAAATACAGATCGGTGTATGAACCCAAATGAGTGTGGTTTTTTATGTTGTGTCGTATGCAAGACTTGATTGATCACCTTTATTTTTCCGTATTTTCAGAGTGAAAAAAAAATTAAACAAAAGAGTGAAGAGTAAATAAAGAGAGAGCACAAGCAAGGCACAGTTGGAAGCAGAGAGTTTTTAAGAATTCTCCATTCCAAGGTTTTTTCTCAGAGACAGAGACAGCCTTAAATGGCCTGAAATAATTGCAAATCTCTAGCTACGAATCACTTTTGCTCCTAGCCCCAGTAAAAGCTCACTTAAATGCGCCACAGATTAAAGGCAGTGCCGAAACTTAAGACGGCGAGCGACCTGAAAAGCAGGAAAATCTGCCCACTTCAATATGGTCTTTGCAGAGGTTGAAGAAAAGACCCTTTTAGCTCCTATTCAACCTAACATTGATATGAATATATATATAAATAGATATTTATATATACACTCGCAAACAAAGCAATATTTATACTATATAGATTATAGAGTACTATCAACTGTGTTTGCTTTTTCTCTGAGCTTTGAAAATTCCCCTCTCTCTCTCACTCTATTTTTTAAACAGAGAAAGCTAGGAGTTGATGAAAGAGTGATTGTGACCAAACCCCAATTCACTGTATTCCACTTCTGATTCGATTCTTGGGGTCTCCGTTTGGTGGGTGAGAAAATAAGAATTTAGAGATTTAAGAGACTGAGACGTTGTTCTGATCAGTAAAGGACTCAACTTAACCAAACCATGGACCTCCCCTTTTTATAGCACAAATTTTATGCTTAAACTTAACATTACCCACCTAATACTCAATTAATCATAATTTCATGTCACTAATCAGTAACGTAACAAATCCTTTTCTTGATCTTTTTTTTTTTTTTTTTTTTTTATATTCTCCCTAAGTAACTTACCATATGAAGTTTTCTAACAAGTGTTATAATTTTCTATGTATTCATTTCACATGATTTCTGTCACAGCTTCCTTAATTTCTACCTCAGAGCCTGTTTCATCATTCATTGTTATACGTGTTTTAGAAAATTGCTTCAGCTCAGATCCAAATCTAAGTCAGTAATTCCATGAATTTGATTTCCCAATTAATTCCCATCTTTTATTTTATTTTATGTGAATTCTTTGAGTTTAATTAATCGATGCTTCATTAAGCTTCCTCCCTCCCTGTCCCCCAATCGATCCATAGTAATCCAATCCCCCCACTGATTTTGCCTCGCGTGTATTACACTTTAGACTGAACTGAAATGATGTCTTTCTTTTAAGCGCGTGAAGGTAGCATTGCCCAATGAAAGATACGATTGGATTTTTTAAAATCATGGGCCGACCAATCCGATCAACTGGTTTAAATTGCGGCCCATTAATTTTTATCGGCACAGCTGTGCAGTAAATACTTTATTTTTCAGAAATTTGGCTCAAGCCAAGCCGTTATGGTCCCGCCACCATTCCAGCATGCTTTTAAAGAAAACACGCGCGCAATAAACCTCTTAATAACCCCCACTTCACGCCGGCTCATCATAGGGAACATGCCCTTTCATCGGACGGTTCTGTGTGACCCATTATTGGCCGTAGGCTCCCACCATGTCACATCCTGTTAAATTACCATTATACCCTTTTAATTAAAATTCTCTATTTGTCATTAAGAAAGAAGAAAAAAAAAAACAATTGGGATTTTTAGTGGAGATAAGAAAGGATGTGGAGCCAGAAAGGCAGAATGGTTTTGGGGGGATTAAGGGGGAGTCCCTCCATGAGTCCATGTTAAATGGAAAATGAGAAAAGTGTTGCACATATTCCTTACAAAACCCCCACGTTGCCCCGTTCAAACGGGATTTGTCTGCTTGGTGAGCATTCACATCTCAGCCAGTGGTGAGGTGGATTCAAACAATGAGAAAGAGCCGTTCGTGTTTTGTCAAACCATTAAAAATAAAAAGATTTTACACTTAGTGGGAGAAGTAATGATTAGTGAATAGATTTTGACGCCCCCCCGGCCTTTCCCCTTCCCCTTCCGCTTTGCTCTTTTTTCCCCACGACGATTAAAATTCGGAACTATGTTCCCATCTATGCCCCTCACATGGGGCCCGCCTTTTCCGGCCCTACCCCCCACGTTCCCATTTTTCATTTTTAACTCTAGTAAATAATAAACAATTTAATACTATATAAATGGGGTTTAACACAGTGACTGAAAGAATAAAAGGGGCCGGAGGGGGTTAAAGTTTGATTGATTGGATAAATAATGTAATGATGAAATGGTTAGTGCAAATGTTTTTAAGTAGAAATAGTTTGAATGCTTTATGTATGAAACGCATATTGTAGAACAAAGGAATCTTAAAAATATTTATAGAGATAACATGGAAAGATTAAGGAGTGCGTGGGGGCCAATGCATCAAACCAAAGACGGAAATTGGCTTTTCTCAGTTCAGGGAAATTAGTGCACTTGATGCCTCCACTCACACTTCACTCTTACCCTTTCACTTTTATGGATGGACGGACATCCATTATATATATAGCAAACTCTCGTGTGTTTGGTCCTTTTCCTTTTATATTGAACATTTATTAGTTTCATAGATGATATCTTAACCACCACCACCACCAACACCCCCCACCCCCCTCCTTTTTTTTTTACGAACTGTTTGGTTATTTTTGTTTAGGTTTGTAAGGAAATGATGTTTTTACAATTCATCTAAATTCAATCAATCTAATATTTAAAATATCTCAAGAATTTTGAGACTGTTCTTAAATTTGAAGTTGAATTGATAGCATTTTTTAACATAGCAGACGTTCACTATAAAAAAGAACATATGCTTACTTAAAAAGGATAGCTTATAACAGGACCACAAAATATAAATATTGGGATGGGTGATTAATTAATTAAGTTGGAATAGTAATTAAACCAAAGGGACATGAAATGTCAAGTGAAAGGGCGATATTGCAAATTGCAAAAGGACCACCTGAGATTGAAGAAAATTTATGTAATAAACTACGGATCGTATGGTGGCGAGAGGATGCACGTTGGCCACCCCAAGCTGTGGTGGTCACTACTGCTGCAAAATTAATACACAACACCTGACCTCGAACTCCATCTCTTAATTTGCATTCGTCCTCAACTCAGCAACTTGCTAATTTAACTTAATTAATTCCCGCATTAATTATTATGGGATCGAATGTGAGAACCAGATTCTGATTTGAGTCCTACCTTCAACTCCTGCATGGATTACATAAATATATAACCCTGCCCAGGTTATTCTATTATGCAAAGTAATATCAGTATAATGATATATGAATCATTATATGAGATCGGGTATTAATGTATGGATATTATTTTTTTCAGTCTAAAAATGAGTTCTGCAGTTGAAAGTTATATGATTCCATGATCTACAAAATACACATGGGATGTTGTAGCTCTACAAATAATTGCATCAACAATTTATTGCTATTCATATTCTTCATACATAAAGAATAATGGTATAGGACATGCATACGCATACCATATATATTTTTAAGCATTATCATTTTTTTTTTTTTTTTTTGGATAATTAGGGTGTCCAGATCAGTTTACACGCATATAACTATTATCTAAGGTCTGTTGAACACTCTACAATCGAGATATTTCTTGAGACCTCGAAGTTAACGACCGAGTAAACCCTTTAGTGGTCACCCTTACTAGCAACCTAGAGGAATTAAACTCAACACCTCTGGAGTAATACATCCAAAGGTCTCTATCGCGTCACCCAACCTCCTCGGATAGTTTTTTCAAATTTACATTGGATTAGATTGTCATCCTTTTATAAATGGATTAATTTCTTTGACATACAAATCCTTTGAGTCACATTTGGATGGGATCTTTTAGAGTCAAGATTTAACAAATTCGGAAAAGAAAATTATTAAAAAATAATATGAAATTAATATTTTGGGGCCATGGACTAAATCATTATCAAGATTTTATTAAGGCACTCAGACTTAGTCGTGGTGCATTAGATAAGAGTTAGGTTTATAAAAAACAGGCGATGGAAGGCGATATGGGTTGAGCATCCAAAGCATTACTTCGTAGGTTAGAAAAGAAAAGAATAATATTTATTATACGCTTTAATAATTGGCGATAAATGACCAGACGTATAAAGAGAAAGAGCTGAGATAAGAGTGGAACCAGTGCTATGAACTGTGGTGGTGCCAATGGCGATGGACCCCAAAAGATAAAATAAAAAATTTGTTGTCTCATTGGCCCCCCACATAATATATATTATTTCTACCAAACTGTCTCTCGTCTTTGTCCCCACTCTGAGGAGACTCTTACCATCAACCCATAAATAGCTACTTACCAGGATACCTGTATTCAATCTCTGAGAAACCATAACCTTTCGTTATTGATTAGAATTTTATACGTTTCAAATCACCTTTCTTTCATCTTTTAAATGTTCAGACTTCTATTAGATATATGCAGAAATTTCTTTTGTATGAAAAAGCATGCATGGTGAGTAGGAATTGAATGATTTCACACATATTGAAGAAGGGAAAAATAAACTTGAAAATATAAGAGTGTAGGCATCAAAGAGGGTCCCAAATTCTGATAACCACAATGTGAATGCCCCGCCACAAAGTACCACTTCGGCGCTAGCTATAAGCTACTCATGAAAAATTCCATATTCTCTCTTAATATCTATAAATATTCTTCTCCATATTCATCAGCTCAGCATGACGATCTGATTAAACATGATTGATATTTATTTCTCTTTTGGTCTGCATTAATCAAAGAAATAGTATGCCTGTGAAATCATAATGATGATGAAAATTAAAGAGAATTTATTGATGTAAGAACAAGATAAACATCCATTTTCTTTTCTAAGTGGGAATGAAAAGGTGTCACTTGTGGGTTTCGTAGTTTCCATAAAGTTCTTTCATGGGTTTTATTGGAGGATTATTATCCCACACCTCCCTTCACGTTTCATTTTTTACTCACCCACACCCAAAACTATGAAATATTACCCAGGGGGTCTAACGGGTTAGTTATATCTAGGGGGTCTCGTCTTCAAGTCGTAGGAGAGGCAATTACCGAGTTTACCCAAAAAAAAAAAAAAAATTAGCCCTAACCTCCCTTCACATTTTAAGAGTTATCTAATACCTCCCTTTTTTTAAGTCTTGTTTACCCCCTGTTAGATCGATTAATATCACATTCATCCACTTTGTTTTAAAACTATTAAAAACAGATCTATTGTTAGTGATATGTTATCAATTAATATCACATTCATCCACATTTCACTTGTACTTCCCTCATCCCAAAAATATGAAAAACTACACATAACCTCCCTTCATTGGCCTTAATTGATATATTTCTTTTGTCTAGTCTACTTGTTTACCTCGAATGAGATCGATTAATATCACATTCATCCACTTTGTTTTAAAAGTAATGGTTCTATCCAATTTTTATCAATTAACGCCAATAAAGGGAGGTATTGAATAATTCTCCAAATGTGGAGGGAGCTCAAGGTAATTTTTCATGCCTTTGGGGTGTTGACTGAAAGTGAAACCTTACGGGTGGTGTGGGTCCTGTGGGATAATAGTCCTTTATTAGAGTAACTTGTTATCATTGTGAGAGACATTTTCTCGACCACTTTAAGGTTTAATAAAATTATAAATGTTCACTCAAAATTTCAATAAATAACAAAAGTCTTCTTAAAGTTGGTGAATCATTAATGTGCCGTTAGAATTTAAAACATGATGAGTTG